TGTCCCTCTTCTGGACATGTCTAAACCACTGTCCCTCTTCTGGACATATCCAAACCACTGTCCCTCTTCTGGACATGTCCAAACCACTGTCCCTCTTCTGAACATGTCTAAACTACTGTCCCTCTTCTGGACATGTCCAAACCACTGTCCCTCTTCTGGACATGTCCAAACCACTGTCCCTCTTCTGGACATGTCTAAACCACTGTCCCTCTTCTGGACATGTCCAAACCACTGTCCCTCTTCTGGACATTTCCAAACCACTGTCCCTCTTCTGAACATGTCTAAACCACTGTCCCTTATCAGAGTCAGAGTCAGAGTCAGAGTTTCTTTATTGTCATTCGCACCTCATGTGGTACATGTGGTGGAGCGAAATTATGTACACAGGGTCCCAGTTACATCCAACAATAAAATGTATAAGAAAAACAGTAATAACATCTAAGATATGAACTAAGAAAAACATCAACTAAATATACACTAAGCACCCATAACATAAAAACATTGAACATCAGCACAAACATGAACATGAGTCTGTGAGCAGATGTGCACGCATGAACACATCAACATTGAAACAGATCAGCAGCAACATGAAACAGATCAGCAGCAACACGATATGGTCTTTCACAGTGACTATTCTAGTTAGAGATTCATGAGTCTAACAGCCTCAGGGTAGAAGCTGTTCCTCAGTCTAGTGGTTCCACACTCAATGCTCCTTAACCTCCTTCCTGAGGGGAGTGGGGCAAAAAGTGTGTGTGCTGGGTGGGTGGGGTCCTCCATGATGCAGGTGGCCCTCCTCCTGCATCTGGAGGTGTAGATGTCTGTGATGGTGGGGAGACTGACTCCAACAGATTTCTGTGCAGCCTTCACCACTCTCTGCAAAGCTTTTCTTTCTGCAAAGCTTTTCTTTCTTTCTTTCTTTCTTCTTTCTGTCCCTCCTCTGGACATGTCCAAACCACTGTCCCTCCTCTGGACATGTCCAAACCATCTCAGTGTGTCCTCTCTAACTTTGTCTCCCAGTTGTTCAACCTGTGCTGTACCTCTGATGATCTCATTCCTGATCTTCTCCATCCTTGTCTCTCCTAAGGAGAACCTCAACATCTTCATTTCTGCTACTTCCAGTTCTGTCTCTTGTCTTTTTGTCCATGTCTCTGTCTCCAGACCATACAACAGAGCTGGTCTCACCACTGTCTTGTAAACTTTTCCTTTGACCTTTGCTGACACCCTTTTGTCTCAAATCACTCCTGAAACTTTTCTCCATCACTCCATCCTGCCTGGACTCTCTTCTTCTCCTCTTCACCACACTCCCCATGTTCCTGGACAGTGGACCCCAAGTCCTTGAAGTCCTGCACCTTTGTGACCTCTGCTCCTTGTAGCCTCACTGTTCCACCTCCTCCCTCTCATTCACACACATGGACTCTGTCTTACTACGGCTGACTTTCATTCCTCTTTTTTCTTTCTTTCGTTTTTTTTTTTTTAATAGATGGCCTCCCTTCTCCCCTTACAGCCATCCTCTCCACACCATTATTATGAAATATTTATTCTAGTGATTATCTAGTGTAGTTTTTTTTTTAATAGGATAGAAAGAAAGAAAAGACAAAGTAAGACTCCAAAATATAAGAAATATACACAAAGAGAGCACATGGCAAAACACCCGGCCACTGACTGTTCACCTGCAAAGAACATGACAAAACACAGCAACAAAATACATATGTATAAAGAACTTAAAATATTCATGGCTTTGCAGTAAGTTTCCATAAATATATATACCCATACCTACGCCTATATACATACATACATACACATGAATATACATTCATATA